GAGGGGAAGTATCGTATCACTTTAGATGTCACTGGGCCAAAGTTCTGAGAATTAACACTCCTGAGAGTGCAGCTCTGAGTGTCTTCTGAGTGAAGACTGATACTCATGCTGAAATGTGTGTGTGTGCTGATTTGGTGGGACAGATATCTATTATGGAACCATATCAATAACAACAGTATCCACTTTAACTTGTGACCATATGGAAGTTTTGAACCCAGCCCTACAGAAACAAAAGGCTGGCTTCTGATTAGTCTAGGTTAGCATTTCTCAACCTTTCGGATACCAGGAACCAGCTTGCTGTCTTCCTAAACTGTATCAGGGAGAACTCAGGAACTGTTGCTAGGGGTCCATCGAGAAACACAGCTCTGTCACACTGATGCAGAGGTGAAAGTAAGCCGGTGTGTGCTGGTCTGCAGCTCCGGAAGAGCTGTCTGAGCTGCAGCAAAAGCCAGTAGGAATCTATTTAAAGAACTGGCAGGGACCCGGGATGCAATAGGACAGTACCTATAAGAAAATTTGCTACTTTCATTGATCCTACCTTCATATTGTCTTTTCCCTGTGCTTTTCTATTGTATGTGCTACTTTCACTGCTGCATTGATCCTACCTTCATATTGTCTTTTCCCTGTGCTTTTCTATTGTATGTGCTCTGGATAACCTATAGTCTCCAATACTTGTAATGTATCACTCACCTGAGGCCTGACCTACAGCAGCCCTTCATGCTGCTGACCTGTAGTAAAATGTATTGGCTCTATTTTATCAGAATGAAACAATGCAAAAAAATTCTCCAAAACTATCTCCCTCTGCTTTTCTATTGTATGTGCTCTGGATAACCTATAGGCTCTATTTTATCAGAATGAAGCAATGCAAAAAAATTCTCCAAAACTATCTCTAATGTGATCAAATAACACTTCAGATACCTGCACATTGAGCAAAGATATATTGGATATTTTTGACCTTTAAAGTCTCCTGGGCATGTAGTTATTTGGCAAGATATAAATACAATATATTTAAGTGTGAAGTCTTTTAGAGACAATACTTGACAAGAGTTCCCTAAAAAATGCTTGGAAAATTCCATCTTAAACCCTAGGACTTTGTAGTGTCTGTTGATTGAGAGTTCAATTCTCCTAAAATCATTTATTTGAGAGATGATTTTTGACAGCAATCAGTAACAAGAAATAAAGTTTAAATAATAGTTATAGTACATTGTTGTACCTACTATTGATTTCCACTGCTATTCATTGGTAAGAAAAAGGAATCTTCATTTTACTTGACTTATGATGAATTTTAACCAGAATATAAAAATAATTCCCCAGCATTCTTGAGCATTTTAAAGATAACTCTTAACCCTAAATTTCTCAGTGATGTGTAGATTGAAACAAAAACTTGATTTCCTAAATCTATTGAAGGTAACTTCATGGTGCCCATTAGCAGAGGACCTGAATACATTACAGTATTTAATGTGGTGTCCTCATGGCACTGATGGGATTCAGGGAGTTACTCTTATCCCCATTTTATAGATGAGGAATTGAGTCACAGAGGGATTAAGTGACTTGTCCAAGGTCAGAAGGACATCTGAGGCAGAGATAGAAATTGACTGCTAATATCTGGCAAGCAGTCTAACCACTGGACCATCCTTCCTCTCTTAAATATCTTGAAGGTTATTGGCCATTATTTGCTTCATATATACCAGTGTAAATCCTGAGTAGTTCTGTTGCAGTTTGTGTCAAAACTCCCGTAAAACGACTTGAAATGTCTCACCAGTTAGTTGTATGAGCACAATGCATAAAAGTGAACATATGAATGATCTCATCCTTTTCTACATATGGTTCTATATACTTTGTTTAATATATCTGGTATATATACTTTGTGCTCTATAACGTTAATATATATGTTTGACAATGATGACACAAACATTATAAGTGAAAAACGTGAAAGCTAAAATAGAGATTACAGGCTTCACTCTGCACTCATCAAAATCAAGGGAATTTTGCACATACAGAGTGAACTCCTGGCCCCATTGAAAGCAGTGGGAATTTTGCCATTGACATCAATGAGGTCAGGTTTTCACCATTGACTTTCTACATTTGATACTTTCTTTTTCCGAGTAAGTATGTTACTTACTTTTTATTTGGTGGTAGAAAGTATACTCCAAACCTAAATAGAAATCTCGGTGCAATAGTTTAAATGTACTACCCTTCATGTGCACAGCTTAGCTTTCTACATTTATTTTTAGTTACGTTCTTTCTTCTTTTTTCCCCTCTATAGTGGCTTCAACTAATTTGCAGGGTTTTACAAATGTACCTTCAGGATAATATTTAGAAACACCCTTCATTTTATAATTAAAATTTTACTTACTCCTTCCCCACAAACATGTTGGCAGCTGAGCAAAATGTAAATTCTCAAGTGGTATTTATTTAATTGCGATTTTCTGTAGACTTAGTCAAGAGGGGTTATTAGGTTAAAGCTATTTTATCCTTTCTGACTGAACTAAATATGCTTGGTAGTGATTCACATCTAAGCTACGTTGCTCATAATATTGAAGCATTATGTTTTAATATTTCATGGATTGTTTTTATGGGGAAGAAGTATATGTATGCATGGAAAAGAACCAATGTCATTAATATTTTACCAGGAGAAAAGTTAGCCTTCTTAGGTAAATATGCTAAATTAAACATGGAGATTATGGCATTGCTCCTTTTTTCCAACTCTCTGGGGCTACGTCTAGACTGCAGGCTTCTTTCAAAAGCAGCTTTTCCGGAAGAAATCTTCTGAAAAAACTTCTTTCAAAAGATTGTGTCCACACTGCCAAAGCACATCGAAAAAGTGATCTGCTTTTTCAAAAGATAGCATCCACACTGAATGGACACTATCTCACATATAAGCTGTGATTGCTATGGACGGAGTGGCCACCAGGGCACCTGTGCTTTTTCCTCTTTTCTCTTCTTTTGAAATAACTCCTTCTTCTCTGTCCACCCACGCCTTTTTCTGAAAGAGCTCTTTCAGAAAAAAGCTTCTTCCTCATAGAAAGAGGTTTACCGATGTTGGAAAAATCCCTCTATTCTTTCAATTTTATTTTCAAAAGAACACAATTGCAGTGTGGACATAAGTGAAGGGGTTTTTTTTTGGAACAACGGTAGTTTTCCCGAAAAAAACTCTGTAGTGTAGATATAGCCTGACATTTGGTCATACGGTATGGGCAAAAAAGTCTGTTCAAATGTTAAGCGGGAGGTTGGGATTCACTCTGCATACTCGTCCATGGGAGGAGCAGCCAGAAGGCACCCCCATTAGGCCAGGTCTGGAGATTGATCTTCCAGGGTTAGATTTAGTGGGTCTAGCACTGTTTATGCTCCCGTCACCTCGGTATTCCACAGGTTCATGAGGAATAAGGAAAGTTGGCGAAAGAGTTTCTCCCATCAACCTAACGCAGTGGGGATGCTGCAGAAATTCCACTTAAGATATCACTGTTTATGCTCCCATCACCTCGGTATTCCACAGGTTCATGAGGAATAAGGAAAGTTGGCGAAAGAGTTTCTCCCATCAACCTAACGCAGTGGGGATGCTGCAGAAATTCCACTTAAGATATGTTGACTCCAGCTATGATATCTGGGTGTCATTGTGGATAGCTCTCTGAAAACATCTGCTCAATGTGCAGCAGCAGTCAAAAAAGCAAACAGAATGTTAGGATTCATTAAAAAAGGGATAGAGAATAAGACAGAGAATATCTTATTACCTCTGTATAAATCCATGGTATGCCTACAGTTTGAATACTATGTACAGATGTGGTTGCCTCATCTCAGAAAAAGATATATTGGGACTGGAAAAAGTAAAAAAAAACGGAAGCAAAAATGATTAGGGGTTTGGAATGGCTGCCATATGAAGAGAGAATAAAAAGCCTGGGATATTTCAGCTTGGAAAAGAGGAGACTAAGGAGGGATATGACAAAGGTCTATAAAATCATGATTGGTACGGAGAAAGTGACAAAGGTCTATAAAATCATGACTGGTATGGCGAAAGTGAAAATTTCTTATTTACTTGTTCCAATAATTTCATCTGAAGAAGTGGGTTGAGCCCTTGAAAGTTCAGGATACCTTCTACATGTTTTGTTAGTCTTTAAGGTGCTGCAAGACTACTCATTGCTTTTTTAGGTTTTTCCAGTTACAGACTAACTTGGCTACCCCTCTGAATCATAAGAACTAGGAATTATCAAATGAAAATAATATGTAGCAGGTTTAAAACAAACAAAGGAAGTACTTCTTCATGCAACACAATCAACCTGTGGAACTTCTTGCCAGAGGATGTTGCAAAGACCAGGACTTTAAGAGGTTTCAAAAAAGAATTAGATAAACTCATGGAAGATAGATTCATCAGCGGCTATTAGCCAGGATGGTAGGAATGGTAACCCTCACCTCTATTTGTTAGAGGCTGGGAATGGGTGACAGGGAAGGGATCACTTGAGGGTTACCAGTTCTGATCATTCCCTCTGAGGCACCTGGCATTGGTCATTGGGTTACCAATTCTGATCAGTCCCTCTGAGGCACCTGGCATTGGTCATTGTCGAAAGACAGGATACTGGGCTAGATGGACCCTGTATAGCCTTTCTTATATTCTTATTCTTCTAGCTAGAGTTACATATCTTAGTTCGACTTTCTCGTGCAGAGTAAAACTGATCTTACTTTCCTGCCTGGGCTTCAGTTATCATAGTTATCAGTGTACATGAGGAGTGAGCACCTTCTGCAGGGTTGTGAATCCACATCTCACATAGGTGAGTGTGCAGAGGATGGGAGTGTTCAGAGTATTGGCTCCGTTCCTCCAACAAGGCCAGCCAACTCAGATAAGCCATCTCATGAGAGATATAAGATTAGTACAGATTACTTTTCTCCTGGATCACAGAGGAAACCAGGGACACTATTGTGATTGAATGAGTGACACTATAGTGATCTCCTCCCACCTGATGCAGTGCAACCACCTGATGCTTCAGTGATCTCCCACCTGATGCAGTGCAACCACCTGATGCTTCATATTCAGGGTTTGAGGCAAAACCACAGTTGTAATTTAGTTAATGATCTTCACTGTAGGCTCCAATGGATGCAACACAGCACGTTTTAAATTCATGTAATTCTGTTTGCTAATACGAAAAGGAAACCAGTGAACTTGCTATTCATGAATCTGACAGCTAAGATTTTTTAGGGTTGGTTGTTGTAAAAAAAAATAGCTGGTTGTATAAAGAAAAAAAATTATTAGTGAAATATAGATGTGTCTTAGTATAATGCAAATAGAAATATAATTTGACTTGCACTGGTATATTCCTTATTGAGGAACATTTAAAAATAATGTGTTGTGGACTGGGGGTGGGTGAAGGAATTTTAATGTGTTTTTATATCCTGACTTATTGTAGGAACCATGTTCTGGTTAGTTGTTAGCAACTCAGAAAATGTGTGTTTGTCTCCATGGGAAGGAAGATGGATGTGTGAAGAGTCACCAAAGTTCTAGGGAGAAACTGAGCAAGACTGATTAGCTCCACCTCAGCATGACACCTGAGCTGTATCCTTATCTAAGGGGCTAAATGGATCAGAATGTTACTGCCCATTTATTTATTCTCCTTCTGTTTGGAGACTTTCCCTGATTAATTGATGTCTAGTAATTGCTGCTGTTAACTAATGTCAAACTTAATTAACCTCGAGTCTCCTCAGCCAGTACATGGGCCCACCCATCTGTAAAGAAGAGAAGGTCATCCGTTTGGAGGTTCTGAGGATGGCCACGCTTTACCAATTCGTTTATTTGCTTTGGGTTTTGTTTGCTACTAGAATTCCCATCACGTCTAATTGGCCTGCTGAAGCAGCAGTGAACACAAGATTTAAGAAATGTTTTCTTTAAAAACTTCTGGTCCTACAGACACTTTGAGATCAAGTTTCACTCGGCTGAAATCACACACGATTCCCTGTGACTTTCATGAGAAATACTGTAAGAAAGTATTAAAAAAGAAACACATCTTGGTGGTTTGGAGGGACTGATGGCCGGGGGGATGAAGGGTGGGTGGTGGTAACATAGCAAGGCATCTATAGAATCTTTAGTGGTTGCCAAAATTAACACATACAAGGTATTCAGTATCAAAGTTTTCAATATTTGGCTCCATAAACACAATACCGGTTGCAAAAACAAAGCTAAGGATTTCATGCTGATTACTTCAATAAAAACTGTTTAATTATGAACATTTGGGAAATGAAGTTATGAAGAACTGACCAGTATTGCGATGGCTTCCTAGTGTTCATACCAGACTGTGAACACTGTGCCAGCATCCTACTGCTCAGTGTACTGTAGAGTCAGCTACAGTAAACAGTATGTGAAACTTACCACAGAGCATGCTGATTGCATAGTGCAGAAGCAGCGCTGACTTGCCAGTAAAACATTAATCCATTGTCTGACTGACGTATGCTAAATGTAATAATAATAATAATTAATAACAACAATAACAATAATAAATACTTGTGGCTGAATTTTCAGAGGTGCAGATACTCACAGCCTTAAAGTCAGAATGCTATAGTTTGTGTTTTTGTTTGTTCGTCAAGTTTTTCCATATAATACACAAAGGAGGATTTATATTAGATTTAGAAATAAATCAGTTTAGTAGACAGGTTGTGTAGCTACACTAAGGGTATATTTGCCACATAAAATCAGATTTTATATGAAGAAGTTGCTTACTATAAAATAGCACTTGATTATTGACTTTAATAACTTCTTCAAAGAGTTTCACATCAAAGCAAAATATAACTCTATGAAACAGTTGTCCTTTTCCTGTCCATTCCTTAATCAGTTCTCTTCTTGATTACTGCCACTTTATCCCCTTTATCCTCCTTTTCTCTCACCAGCCTGTAGGCCTTCTCTGATTCTCCAAAACACCATGATAAAGTCACCTTCCTCTCACCTTTATACTTCAATGACTGTTAGCTCTCTTCTTTTGCTGAATCAGTTTCAAGCTCATTGACCTAATATTTATAAATGATCTAGAGAAAGGGGTAAATAGTGAGGTGGCAAAATTTTCAGACGATACTAAACTGTTCAAGATAGTTAAGAGCAAAGCAGACTGTGAGGAAGTGGGTCTGGCCCATGAACACTCATCGCCTATTAAACCATCTTGTTAGTTTTTAAAGTGCCACATAGTTTTTCCTTTTGTTTTAGCAAGATCAGTCTAACACGGCTACCTCTCTATTACTCACAAACTAAGTGATTGAGCAACAAAATGGCAAATGAAATTTACTGTTGATAAATATAAAATAATGCACATTGGAAAAAATCATCCCAACTATACATACAATATGATGGGGACTAATCTGGCTACAACTACCCAAGATAGAGATCTTGGAGTCATTGGCTACATGTACACTGGCACGATTTTGCGAAAATACTTTTAACGCAAGAGTTTTTGCGTTAAAGTATTTGTTCAAGAGAGCATCTACACTGGCATGTGCCTTTGTGCAAGAGATGTGCTTTTGTGCAAAAGCATACGTGCCAGTGTAGACGCTCTCTTGCGCAAGAAAGCTCCGATGGCCATTTTCGCCATTGGGCTTTCTTGCGTAAGAAATTAACGTTGCCGGTCTACACTGGCCTCTTGCGCAAGAATAGTTGCACAAGAGGGCTTATCCCTGAGCAGGAGCTTCATAGTTCTTGCGCAAGAAGCACTGATTTCATACATTAGAATGTCAGTGTTCTTGCGCAAGAACTCCCAGCCAGTGTAGACAGGTGTCAAGATTTTGCGCAAAAGCGGCTGCTTTTGTGTAAAATCTTGCCAATGTAGACACAGCCATTGTGTATCGTTCTCTGAAAACATCTACTCAGTGTACAGTGGCAGTCAAAAAAGCAAACAGAATGTTAGGAATCATTAAAGAAGGGATAGAGAATAAGACAGAGAATATCTTATTGCCTCTATATAAAACCATGGTACGCCCACATCTTGAATACTGGATTCAGATGTGCTCCCCTCATCTCAAAAAGATATATTGGCATTGGAAAAGGTTCAGAAAAGGGCAACAAAAATGATTAGGGGTTGGAACAGGTCCAATATGAAGAGAGATTAAAAAGACTTGGACTTTTCAGCTTAGAAAAAAAAGAGACTAAGAGAGGATAGGATAGAGCTTTGTAAAATCATGACTGGCATGGAAAAAGTGAATAAGGAAAAGTTATTTCCTTATTCCCACAATATAAGAGCTAGGAGTTACCAAATGAAATTAATAGGCAACAGGTTTAAAACAAACAAAAGGAAGTTTTTCTTCATTCAGTGCACAGTCAACCTGTGGAACTCCTTGTCAGAGTATGTGGTGAAGGCTAGGACTTTAACAGGGTTCGAAAAAGAGCTAGATAGATCTCTGCTTCTGTCAGCTTCTATCTTCTCTCTTGTTCCTTATGGCCATAATACAACAAGATACTTGAGCATGTGTCTAACTTTAAGTGTCTGAGTAGACAGGATACGGAAATACTCATTTGCTTAATGTTAAACATGTGCTTTAGTATCCTGTTGGATCAGGGCCTGTTTTTATTCCAATACCCGATACGGTCTTTTTCCTTTGTCTCCTCCCATTTTTTGGCTTTGCAACATTCTATTGTACAACCCCCTAAACTCAGAACAGTCACCTACTTCAGGCCCACCTGGTGCCTTCTTTCTCCACTTGTAAATTCATTTCCAGTGGTCTGTGATCATCAAAGTTATGTGTCCTATGTTTATTCTGTCTATTGTGAAGATAAAAACAGAAGGAAGCAATCAAACTGCAAAGGATATGAACTCAGCTGCTAGTATCTAAAGCACAAGGAATACGCATATAATTTGCAAAACAATAATTCTCCAGTGCATTTAAGAGAAAGAGAGTTCAAATGTGGTAAATGTCACCAGATGCATACTATTTTACTGGGGGAAAATACTGGTGTGCTACACTTATAGGCTGCGTCTAGATTGGCAAGTTTTTGCGCAAAAACTTGCCAGCTGTCTACACTGGCCGCTTGAATTTGCGCAAGAGCACTGACTTTGTAATGTGCAAAATCAGTGCTTCTTGCGCAAATACTTTCACGCTCCCGCTCGGGAAAAAGCCCTCTTGCGCAAGAATACTTGCGCAAGGGAGCCAGTGTAGACAGGCACTTCAATTTTTTGCGCAAGAAAGCCCGATGGCTAAAATGGCCATTGGAGCTTTCTTGCGCAAAAGTGCTTCTAGATTGGCAGGGGGGGGTGGTACAAAAGCATCCATGCCAATCTAGATGGGTTTTTGCGGAAATACTTTTAACGGAAAAACTTTTCTGTTAAAAGTATTTCCGCAAAATCATGCCAGTCTAGACGCAGCCATACAGTCTTGGATCCTTAAAATCTAACCAATTTTTTAGGAAGAGAATGTTCTTTACACAAGATCTTACCATTCCTCTGTTGAATTCAAATGTAAAGCAGGAAATTCTCAGCTCATGAGTTTCTAGTCTCAAGGAATGGTATACCTTTATTATGTTTTCATTTTAATCAGGGGAAAATGCACTGTTTTGGAAAATAATTCCCTCGCCTAGGATTTCCCCAATATTGAGATAAACACTCAAAGCAAATCAAACCTTTGAAAAGCTCAAATAATTTTCATGATTTCTGGCGTCAGACTGGGAATGGACTCAGGAACAAAGAAATTCTAGGTAAAAGACTCTTTTCAACTTTTCTCTGGACAGAGTCAGAAAAGGCAGTAAAAAATAATCCACTGATGAAGGCTTTCTTTTGTGAGACTTCTAGATGAATCGACCAGACGCAGAGAGGTAAAATAATCTCTGTTATAAAATCTCAATTTTTGGATGTTTTTCTGAACCCTGAGTGAGCTGAGATTTGCCCACCAGTAAATTTAGTCCTGACTTTGTACAAGAGTTTCATACCTTCTTTCTCAAGAGGTAGTGTGTAAGTGGACAGTGCACTGATCTGGAATTCAGGGATTGTACTCCTGGCTATGCAATTGGCCTAGGGGTGACCTGGGGAAAGTAACTATACCTCCCTGTTTTCAGTTTTCCTTAATGCTGCCCTCCTTTGTAAGATGTTTTGAGTTGTAGTGATTGAAAGGGATAGATGAGAGCTAGAGATTATTCCAGTATTTGATTCTTAATTCCTATCTTAATTCTCAGAACTCCCCAGTAAGGCAGGGCAATGCTGTTATTCCTGTTTTGCACACAGAAAGATGAGGGACTTCTCCAAGGTCAGTAGTAAAGCAGGGACTTGACTCCTGCTTTCTTAAATCCTAGAGCAGTGCTTTAAACACAGGCCTATCCTTTCTCTCCTTAACTCTACTCACATTGTTAGGGACAACTTTGCGTTTACACTATTTCTGTGATCAAATAGTTAATGGCATGAAGCTAGAATATAATTAGTGACATTCCAAGCTTTATTCTTTGTAGCTGAACTGAGAATGACATTCCAGGGCCTAAAATGTGTTTCAGGAAAAACACGTGCGCTAAGGCAACGTTTCATCTTCATCCCAACCTCTTAGAAAACTCCCTTAAAAAATCCTTAGTGAATAACTATTTAAACCTGATCTCCTTATAATTGCATCGTGCCTAGCCAGTATGGAACTGTGACTACACGAGTTTGCCCATTTGATGGAAATTCATCTGTGCAGCTGCAGAATCTCAGAACAAATGGGGCTGAGCTAATGATACCAGCCCTAGTTTTTAAACTAGTGGAATTACTCCTAATTTATACTAGTGTAGCTGAGAGCAGAATTAGTTCCTAATTATAGGCCTGTGTTTTAACACATATGTATATATGTATATATTCAGGCTAGGGAGATAATTTTCTTGGTTAAAAATGAGTAACTACTTTAGTTGTAGATCATCTGAAAAATGCATGCATAGGGGAAGCCAGAGGAGGGAATGGAAGAAATTGCCTAAATTAACTTATCACTGAAAAATAAATTTGGTTGTAATGAAAACAGTGTGGGTGGAGCCCTTGTCTCTGTTCACTAGGTGCCAAAGGCTATTTTTT